TAATTTTTGCAGTATTTCAAATGAATATGTACCCACATAACTGTCTTCTAATCGGATTAAAATCTGGTCGAATTTTGGCCGATATTGAAAAAAGTTTGGCCGAATTTGGCCGTGAGATGGCGTGTGTTAGGCCGTGAAGCCTGTCAACTATCTGGCAACCCTGATGCAAAGGGCTATATATTGAAATGATTTTGAGTTTGACATAACACAAGATTTACCTATTTAAATATATATTAACATATTTTAATTTCTTCTGTTATCAATATATTGTAAAAGAGCAACTGAATCTATGCAACTCTGTTTCTTACCTGCAAACATACCCCAAGTCCCTTCGGATGGTACATTCAGCATCATTCCCCAGTCCTCCTGGTGGTGTACAGCAAGTGTCAATCTTGTTACACTGTAGATGCCCTCCACAGTCACATTCTTCCTCATCCTCTACTAAGCCGTTACCACACCATCCTCTATCAGATGCTAAACATTAGATAAACACACCAAATCAGTTGAACATTTTGATGAACTATTAACATTTATGAGACAAACTTAGATTGACACACATAAAAAGCATCACTGACTCACCTGTCAAACAATGTCCCTTTGTTAAAATAACAGGAGCAATCGCTTCTTTAGAACAAAAAGAAAACTGATTATTACGAGCTTCGTTGCCATCAGGTGCCAGGGAAGACATGATGAAGTTGCCCAATTTCCCACCAGGGCTGCATAGTTCAGTAGATGGATCATGCTTAAAAAATTAAAAATACTCCTTTTTACAATCCTGATACAGTATACAAATTAGAGAAAATAAATCAACATACTTTAGCTGTCATCCAATTAAATGTACTTCATGGGCTACCAAAGCTACAGGCCACTAGTTTATAAGCTATTTTACATTTACAGGGTTAGTAAGCAAAAATTGTACAGTTGCAAGACTACCAAAGCAATATTTGCACACAAGTCCTTTATTATTATTTTTTCTCATTCTGTACAGTACCACCAACAAGCAAGTTAATTTTAAGACAGAATAAGGCTAATCCGAAATAAAGGAAATTAAGTATGTGACGCCAAATAAATTAGGTACGGCGTGCAATAAAAGGTGAGTAACCCAAAATTAGGGCCTCAAACCCAGGCTACCACAGCAGTTTCGTATCTTGGAGTCTTGAAATGGGAGATCTGATGGGAGGCACCAAGGTCAGGTGGATGGGGGGGGGGGGGGGTGATGATTAGGTGAGGGGCATAGCTTGCAAAATATGTTGATTTTCGGTTATTTCCAACTACTTGAGTGTGATTTTTGGGAGGTATTTTAGGGCACCATGCACCCCTAGATAGGCCACTGTTCTAAAGAAATGATTGTACAGTTACCAAAGCAATAGGCTAGAATGTGGACTATTCTACTAATATGGGGTATTATATGGTTAGGAAGTATTGCAAAGGTGAACAGCGAAGCTTGTGGACCAAGCAGTGGACCAAGCAGGGCTTTCAATGCTGAAGTGATATCGTTGAGCACTAACCGGGCTGCCAAAGCTGTGGGCTAGTTCGTGGAGCATTGTTAATGTTGTCACTTCCCTTGGTTGTTTCTGGCCGTAGTTTTTTAGTGTTATAATACCTGAGTTTAAACTGAGTATGCTCATATCCTCAAAAACAACTCGACTCTCGCATATTCCTGAAATTAAAACACAATATTCTATGCATATTCATAAACTCTTCATCACGTGATCTGTATTGTGTGTAGTGTGACTTTCCTTGATATATATACACATTAGCTGACAATCAGTGCACAAACTGATAATTATCATCATAATGATAAAATAAATAATAATAAAAAATAGTATTGATAATAATGGATGGATGGAATGAACCATATAAAAGAGGTACTTGTCACCAGTTGTCTCTCTCCCAATAAAAATAAATAATAATAAGGCCAAGTTTAAAAAAAAGTAGTTTCTCGTCCAAATTTTTTTTTTAAAAAGGAGAGCGAGGGCACTTTTTTTTTACTTTGAGATAGCAAATTCAAGATGGTTGATGGGAAACAGCTACTACTTTCTCACTTCTACCAAGTAGACATATTGAAAGCTAAAAAAAAAAATTTGGGGATGAGAAACTAGTAATTTTTTTTATTTGGCCTAAGAGTGATGTTTTGCCCTACTGATATGGTAAGGCCAAGAAATTATGATAAGGCCAAGATAAATGTGTTGTTGCCCAAGCTCAGTGACAATTTGATTCATGATTGGTCAGTGTAAATATTTTTATTATTGGCCTATGCTTAAATGAGTTCTGTGCCATCCATCAATCTACCGCGCACTAATTGATCGATAACAAGGTAGGCCTAAGCATAGTGCTAAAATCCAGATAAGCTTGAAAAGTGACCATCTGAAACATCAATATATTTCAGGCTCATTCTTGGTTTTAAAGGTTTTTTTTTATATAAATGATAATATAACAATAATAAAAATAATTATTAAAGTAATCAATAAAGTTGTGATGCTTACCACCAGGGGGTGAAAATTCCCCTGAAAAACCCAGCCATGCCAAGCCTAGAACACCATCATCAAAGTCTCTGAAAGTGAATCCGAAGCCAAGGCAATAGGAGCTAAAGTCATAGCTAGCAAAAGCAGTTAGATAATCATCAGCTGTAACATACTCATCATCCAAATGATATCCAGGGGACGACTCTTCAAAGATAGTGACATCAGCAATGGAAAAACCAATATTGTCACCTAGAAACAGATTTCAAAAAATCAAATATAAATTTTATTGACAGAGAATCAAAATATATATATTTTTTAAATCAAATCTAAAAACAATAATTAAAATTTGATTTCTTAAGTACAAAGTAGCAGCTAAAAATGAAACTGGAGAAATTATTTTTTATATCATTTTAAAAATCATTATGTACTGCATTTATACCAGCGCATATTATATATACCACCCTCATACACTGTCAAAAACAAACAATCATAATTATAATAGGAAAAATGATAATATTCATAATAATAATAACAACAGCAGCAGAAGCAACAACTACAACAAAAATAATACAGTACAGGTACTATTAATCCTGTCAATCACTTTCTTAGAGATACATATCTTCAGCTTATATTCATACTTTGGTTTAATGATCAGATTGATCAATAAGGATTTGTCATTTTTAAACAAACAATTTTCTGACCAATTCCATCGCCATTGAAATCGGTTGATCGGAATATTGTATCTGCCAATACTGCATGATAAATCATCTCAGTGAGGGCGCTCTTTACATTTCCGTTAAATGCTGCAACAAATGTATGGTCTGCAACCAGATGCAATGAACATGTTTTGGAGTCTGGAAATGATCGCTTCCAATGTGTTTTTTTCATTGTGTTTGTCGTATTTGGAGACGGAACTCTCTCTCTAGTAGATTTCCCTAATTTCCTCTGTTGTTCGATCAGATTGTGCTCAGCCTGCAGTTTTCCTAGTTTCTGGTGAACTTTAAAGTCTGGTAAATTATTAGTGCTGTTTAATGATGGCTTCATTTTACTTGATTTATAAATAATGCTTGTGAATTCATAAGATTTTTCATAGCTTTGTTCAATAGTGTAAGTACTGTTTGCAGTAAAGAGCACTCCTTCAAAGCTGTTGTTCTTAAGGTCTCCATGTACATAACTGTTAGAATCACCTGTTTAATTAAATAAAAAATTGAAAATGTTTACTTCAGATTCTTGTGATCTTACTGGATGTAAATAAAATTAATCAACTTCTATAAATTGTCCATTACCTTGCATATAACCTGTATATATCCACACAGATGAAGACTTCAACAATGAATAATGTAATCCATTCTTCCCAACAATATTAAGTCTTGATCCTGTAGTTAATAATTTCTTGTTGCATGATAATTGCAAATTAAATTGTCTACAAAAAAACAAAAAAAAATAGAAAACTCATCAAAAAAATATCTGTACACATAAAAGTTAACTGTTATATGCAAATACATATAATTTACTTTAGCCAAATTCAATTGTCTCATAATAATGTCATCATTACTAAAAAAAAAAGGTAATAATATTAAAAACATTCTAAACTATTTTAATGCTATAGAATATAAAAAAAAACATAGGCTTATTAAATAAAAAGTATTTTAGAAAGTCACAAATGATGTATTAAATTTCAATAACCCCATAACATATATCGCACTAACCTATCATAAGCATCAAACTGTACTTTGAATTTGAAGCAACCATTGATACTTTCAATCAACTTCTCACTCTTGATACTCTCATTGTACTCCACAATAAAATACTTCAATATGATTGGCTGGTGATCCTGGTCTAGGTTGCTCCCCTTCCCTAATAGAATGAATACATTTTAAAATATTAAATGAGGTATACTTTTGGGGGAACTAGGCCCGTAATAAGAGAGATTACTATGGTTCGGCTGAACTTTCTTTTAGGTAAACCCCCTATGATAAATTGAACATTCCCCTCTCCATTTACCATTGCATCAAATACCATAAAAAAATTATGATTGAATTCACTTACAAACTAAAATGCTTCCGCTTTCACTCTGACCCCTGTTAGAGTGCTTTCTATGGAACTTACAAGGGGGCATATGCACCTACCTATGCCTCTGCATCTTATGGTTACCCCTTAAGAAATCATGGTTATGTGCCTGAAGACTGAAAGTTATATCATCTCATCAGTTAATCTGAAACTACAACCATAAAAATTATGATTGAATTCACTTACAAACTAAAATGCTTCCGTTTTCACTCTGACCCCTGTTAGAGTGCTTTCCCTGGAACCCACAAGGGGGCATATGCACCTACCTATGCCTCTGCATCTTATGGTTACCCCTTAAGAAATCATGGTTATGTGCCTGAAGACTGAAAGTTATATCATCTCTTCAGTAATTCTGAAACTACTTACTAACACATTTAGTTGTGGGTCATACTTTTTTTTCCGGAAATATGTGATAAATGGATAATAAGTATCTCTATTATTGTTATCCTAAATATTTACAATTCCTATTCATTACTATTTTCATCCTCATTACAATAATAATTATTCCTCATTATAGTAATTACTGAAGCTTATTATTCATATTTTTCTCATCCTTTGTCCTAATAGCTTAATAAGAAAACGATTTTCAATGTTCTTTGTGGTATTTTTATATTGCACTAGATTCCATCTTTAAATAATAATTTATTATTTGTATGGATAAATGTGTCAGTTAATTTACAGATTTCTAAACACTGTTGACATCACATTCTAGTAGCATATATCTTATTTAATTTTATATATGTAATGACATAACTCTGGTTTAGTTTGGGGTTTGACCTAAAAGAAATGACATCTCTACCCAGAATACATAATCATGACCTAGTGTACTATGTTTAAACCACACATGGATACATAGTTATGACTTATTGTACTTTATTTAAGCCACACGTACAGTCCTATCATAATGTAGTCCTATTGTATTTTTGTAAACAACTAATGTTTCAGCTGAAATTGCATTATAAAAGCTATAAATTGAATTGAATATAATTTTGTAAAACATTTGCATAAGCAATGCCTTTGATTGATGCAATGATTCAGAATGTATCTAATTCTAAGTAGATCGTCAGTCAAAACAATCCTCTGCATAACCATCGACAAAGTGCCCAGCTCATCTACTTCATCCTTAAGATTTGTCATGTTATTTGACCATATACAGGTGTGTTATGCAAGACTTTCTTTATACCTTGTTTAGCGAACCCGCCGATGATTTACAAAAGAAATAACATTTTATTTTTAGCCAAAGTGGAAATTTCAGAAAAAAAGTTTTTCTTTATTTGTAGTACGTCCTCCACTGCCTTGAAATCTCCAAAGATAAGATATGTATATTTCCTCTTAATTATATAAATTTGAAGCATTTAAACATCTTATTTTACATTCACCACTAAAATTTTATTTTTATTTTCTCCTCCGTCTAGATGATTTTGGCAAAAATATTCGCTAAATAAGAAAACAAAAATTTTATTTTTATTCCGCCCTCCTTCGATAATCTTAGTAAAAATAAGTACGTGAAACGAGGAATAAAAGAATCTCACCTTGCAATATCTTCATGCCCATATACAGGTAAATCACATATATTTTTCTCTGAAAACATGATTGTATGGACAGACCATTACAGATTCAACACCTTTGTGTGAGTGGTTAGCCCAGATTCTCTGCCCATGCCTAAATCCTTCTTTCTTTGCCTCAAATATATTATCTAAGAATAGCAATAAAGTAAGTAAAATCTAGATTCCAGTTCTTACCCATTGAAGCAAGGACATGAATCAGTATCACTGTCAACAAAAAAATGTAATCCTGTAACCTTCTACATTTATTGTTTCCTATTCCAATGTGTTGAGTCATGTTAGAACACCTGTATAAATAACTGCAATAAATAGAGAAAATGCATTACATTTACAGTACTGATACTACTGTACCAGGTTTAAATAACTAGGCCTATGCAATATAGTAGACCTAAGTTTATTATAATACCCTTTCATTTAACAATGGATACGCTACTTGTTTACTTGGGAGGTGCTCTTCTTACCTGTCTGATTGTAAAATTACAGACATTGAATACTGATCAAATATATTAAAAATGTCTAATAAAACACCATTCACTTAGTAGGCCTAAAGGTCCTCAGGTTGTAGCATTATTCACTGTTGAAAAACATTGTCCTAACTTCAATTGAAAGATATCTTACTAAAGTAAAATATCATATATGCAATTACAAAGTAAGCATATCAAACATTGAATCTGTATCTAGGCCAAAGTTTGTCTACATAAAAGCCTGTAGTCAGTAGGCCGTAGGCTTAGCCTAAGGTTAGGGCAGGCCTCTTAACAATTTAGGCATAGGGCCTAGGCCTAGCCTAGACCTAAAAAAATTATAAAAACGAGTCTGCCGTCTTAGGCCAGGGGCCCTACCTAGGCTAGGTCGATCAACTCTAGATCGTGTGCACATATGTTGGCTAGGACGTACTACTACCGCTATGATAAATAGGCCTAGGCCTATTAGTAATCCGTAATGCTATAGGTCAAGGGCCTAGGCTAGAGTAGTAGTACTGTAAGCAGCCTAGTACTAGTAGTAGTAGGCATAGTAGTACTAGGCTAGGCCTATTTATTATAAACCCTAGGCCTAGCCTCTCGTTCTCTCAGCTCGGATCTGTCAGCCGGCTGTGAACGTCAATTAATAGTATTCTACCCTATCATAGATCTATATCATATTATTAAAGTAATGATTGTGTCTATAAATTACCCGTTTTAATTACCCTGTTCTGCAATTCAGAATGAATATATAAGTAAAGTAAGATTCAGCCTCATCTGGGCCTAGGGCCAGGCCTACTGTTGCCTTCTATTTCATCGCACAGTCATTGGACTTATGCGCGTCGCCCAGCGCCCCCGTAGAGAGAGAGAGAGAGACGTCTCTCATGCGTGAGTTCAGTCGCGTGATAATTGGTTAAAAGTATTGAAGTGTTTGTTTGTATTTCATTACTATCGAAGCGTATACCATAAAATCTCGAATTGAAGCCCAATGGGCATAATATCGAGAGAAGCTCATCTAGAATTGAAGCCCCGCCCCCTCCCATTTTTCATTTGCAAAATTAACCTCGAAAACGAAGCCAATGGGCTTCTTTTCAAGATAATAGGCTTCTTTTCGAGATATTTCAGTATATAGGCCTACACTGTACATGGATTTCAAAAAACAAAATAAATTAAATACACGCTTGGTCTATACAGTAGTTTAGGTGATTTAATACCAGTTAATACACTATGATACAGATTGATGTTTTATAGTACAAATTCCCAAATTTACAGCATTCGTTTTGAAAAGAAGCCCACAACCCCACCTCCTTTCTTTGCAAAAAATAGAAACCCATCCAAAGTTCGCATAAAAGAGATAAGCCCAGGGCTTCAATTCGACGTTTACGGTATTAATCCATACAGAAGAACCATGGTAACTCATAATCACATCGAAGTTGTATTAGCAGCCAATAAGATCATTTTCAATATTATCATGACGCATATTCATATAGTATTCGAAATAAAAAGTATTTAAAATATGAATAATGTTGAACTTGGATTATTCTAATTGATTCAAATAGGACGGATCATGCATGACCCATGTTCATTGTTCTTTGTTATAAGAATGTGCTAGTGGTCTATAATGCCCCATTTAAAACACAGACAGACGCTCACAGGAGCACTCGTTTTTAGCTATAAACATTGTTTGACGCTCAAATGGTACATCGATAGCTATACAAAACCACTCAGTTTGATTTTCACATCACAGTCTCTCGGTTTGTTTGTGTCCATCTGTTCTTCCGATTGATGCATCGATAAGGCATATAAAAGGTAAGGTGTCGATTTATATACTGTCTTAGTATGTATGGTGCTAGGTTGCTATAATAATGCTTTTAGGATGATATTAAGACGTCCAAGACGATGCAGTGCTAGTGAAATATTTGTTTCAAATAAGGTAACTTATTCTATGAATATCTCAGGAAATCTGTGTACAGTTTTAAGACCCGGTTGATAAGACTTGCAACAGCTTTATCAAATGTATTTTTTCTAAAATGATTTTATTTTATTTTTTATTTCAACCATCTTTAAAGAGGGTACCGTAACTCTTCCAGTTTAGCCCAGTAGGTTAACTGATATTCAGGGGCACTCTTTAATAAAATTAAAAACAGTACAAACAACATAATAATAGTAATAATAATAATAATAATAATAATAATAATAATAATAATAATAATAATAATAATAATAATAATAATAATAATAATAATAATGTCATTCAAAATTGAACTTGAAGTGGAATCAGTTGTTGTATTTACCTGCACAGTAGACATTGATTGCTGAAACATCGTTTCATTATTTTGATTGATTGGTTGATTGAGTGAGTGATTAATTAATTACCTTCTTTCAGGCCCATGACATTTATCTATATTGTCTGTATATACTATTTGGTGCTGGGCCTTGTTTTTCTTGTGATTGTTGTCTATGGAAGAAACTCTTCCGAAATAAAAGTTGAATTGAAATTAAATTAAGTTGAATTACAGCCCATATTTACGGTAATTTTCATATGCGCTCAGGGGCCGGACGAACTCATACTTCATCCCACCATAGGCGTTTTCCCCGTTCGCGGTAGGGGCTGGAAAAGCGAAAACCGGGATAACCCCTACTGCTCGAATGTCATGGGTTCTTTTGCACTGGGCCACGGATTCGTCATTATAGATAGCCTGCCATGAGCGAGGATGCCCTTCAAACCAGTGCCGATTTAGCTATAGGTTATCCGGCGCCGCCCAGCTTAGCCATTCTACTCAATATACTGACCAATCAATCGAACGATAAATCAATCTATCCATTCATTCATCCGTTCTCCCATCCATTAATGATTTATATTATAAATATATTTATTCATTTATGTGGGCCTACTCATTTATACATACTAAATATTGATAATGAACCATATGAGTTTTAGAATGGACAATGCTAGGCCTATGCATAAAATGCATTTATATTTCACAATATTTTCTTTTAGAACATTAAGTGCTGCTCAGAAAAAAATCATGAAAGGTTAAATCTACATCCGGTCGCACCGGGCTTACGTGCAGAAAATCGCATTCCTTATCTGCAAACTTCGACCTGGTCATGCGCAAACATTCATTCCAAATATTTGCCGATGCTTAAAATCTTATAAAATCCAAATCAAAATACTTGGTTTTTGAATAAAATTGTCAATAAAATGTACAGAAATTATGATATTTTATGAAAGGTAAGAACAATCTTAGAGCAAAATTCTTGTCGCATCATTTTAACGTATTATAAAATTCGCGTTCCGATCGCAAGTCATGTACATGTTCCAGTAATACTGATGATGTCACTCATATTCATGTATCAATCAGGGGATTTCCCGGAATCCAGACATTAAATATCTTAGTTTAATTGCTCAGTTCAAGGATAGTTATGATGTTCCGTCAAATTTAAGCTAAGCTCTGACAACAAAAATTAAATCGCATACATTTTAATGTACATTATAATCGCGAAGCATTCTAAACTGTTTATTTATGATATCGCAGGTCGAGTGTCAGCGGTTAATGCCGACAATGACGTCACTATTTTTAGTAGAAAGTAGTATTATAACCGCAACCGGTAGATTAACAACAGTCCGTGGTTATACTATGTTAGGAAGATCTTGGTGTATGTAAAGTAACTCTATTTCATTCTTACAAATCATACAGACGTCGCCTATACTAGAACATATCACATACAGCAAAAGAATAGGTAAGTTACTGCATATATAGAGATTCATGTTTGAGTGCACCGGTTATGCTGTTCTTACTGATGAACTTTGACAGGCTAGCCTATAATATTTTGTAGGTTGTATGAAGTTCAAAATGTTACGATGTACTATTATTACTATCATTCATCTCAGCTAGATATCTACTTATACTACCAACTACTGTATTCTACTACTAGACCTATTTACGTTATTATATTATTATATACACACACACCCACCCACACACCCCACACACACACACCCACACACACACACACACAC